TCCAGGGAGGTGCTGAGTGTACTACTCGATGATGCCGCACTGAAGTTCAGTAGTAACACACAAATACGTGAAGATAGTGATTAAACTGGCGAGGAGTCCGACCGAAGTGAACAAGTCAAAAGTTTAGCGTGGTGTCCGCCGTGGCTGGCAAAGCCTGAGTTTTTAAAGGGATTCGAACCCCGAACTTGGTGCTTGGACATCCAGAGACACGCCTATTGAGGGCGTAGTCAGATTCAGGATCGACATTTGATTCGTCGTCCTTAAAGAGGAGTTTGACCATTCAGACGTATGGAGCACTGGATGGTCATAGGAATTCCAAATGAGGATTCCAATTAAAATGGTTTTTGAAATCACGAGGGGAGAACGCCTGCAGGAAGTGCCCATAAGCACGTCTCTCCCCAAAAGGGTGAACCTCTTATTTTGTATTCACTCAGAATTTCGGGGTCTAGACTACCCCATACAGGAAAAGGACAACTTAGAATAAACAAGTAGGGTAGCTCGTGGTGCAGAGGACACTATCACATCTCGTAAAATAATGCGGGGGTTGAATACATATTACACAATGTCGTAAATACAGAAAAGAGGCAATATTCATGGAAGGTACTCATTTCGTGTGTGTGCATGTATAAGAAGGTTGCGCTTGGTCGCCATATTATCGACATGAATTACGAAGCCCGACCATGTGTTTAAAATTTTAAACAGTACGACTATCACATGGAATATTTAGACTTCTGTTGTGGTGCCGATAACAAACCAAGTGGGAACGTGTAGTCTGATATGAAAACAGGCCATGCGAATGCTAGCGCTCACAGGTTGTTATTATTGCAGAGTAAGTTCTGATTGCACTCACGCCGTGTTTCGGCCCAGATAGGCCATCGCCGGGTGATCCGTGAGGAGTGTACAGACTTTGATGTGATTCATATAAAACTACAATGCTAGTATAAATATATAAATATATTACTTCCTTCAACATTTGTGTATTCCTCGCGAGTCAACTGATAATGACATATCTGGGCCGAAGCATCTTGTGAATGGAATAATTTGCTTGTGTCACGGTAACCCTTCCATTTCTATTTGTAAGCACCACAAAAAAAAATGCAGCAAAACAAAACTGCTTATATACATTTTATAAGTGCTGAGAGGTAAAACAAGAAATTGAAATAGGCATGAAGCTCTTAGGGAGGAAATTGTGATTCAGAATAGTGTTCAGAAGAGAAGTAACTCCAATGATTTTCCCACGTAAAAGCAATGGCCAGACAAATAATACAGAGAAGGGTATTGGAAGTGAAATTTAAAGGAAAGAGACCTATGAGACGATCCAGAAGAAGATGGTTCAGCCATGTACTGGAAGACACTAAGAAGAGAGGACATAGCATGAAATTGAGACGGAAAGATTGTAGCAGCTGGAAGAGATACGTCCACTGGCGCATATAATGATACAAGAAGAACAAAGAAAGAACGAAAAAAGTTGCACAATTGAAGAATGAAAGGTAATTACATTATTGTAGCGTAGCCGATTATATAACAATAGGACAACTTAAAATGTTATGCTATGAAAAATGTGGCATGTTTGTGTTTGCTTCTTGTTCCTGTAACATTTAATTACTCTACTAGACTCTGAACCCAAACATTATTGCATTCCGGGTTCTGAACACCAGGTATCTCATTTGTGAAGTGATACTTGACAAGCTTTCTTTATGTGAGACGACTTTCTTATCAAAGGCACACGCATGAATGAACCCTACACTCAAACGTCAGATAAAGAAAATAAATATTTATCAATTCAAAGCTAACCACACTATAGCTAATTCACTGCGAATTACCACAGTTTACCGGTTAAGACTTTCAAATTCGTAAACACACTTTATTTAAAGGTAAAAAAGGTAAAATTGTCCAATAAACCATGAAGGAGTATAAGGGAGTGGAGGTATAGATCCATATTTTCTCGACCTCTGCACTAGCTGGAGGTGAGTGGTCAGCTTCACGCCTCAGCCGCTTTACCCCCGGGGAAAGAGCCCTCGGTATCCATTGGATATGGGGTTGGGTGAACCCCATAGACGGTCTGGACGATTTGGAAAAGAGAAAACACTTGACCTTAGTGGGACTAGAACTCCGACCCTTCAGTCGTCCAGCCCGTAACCAGTCGCCATACCGACTGCGCTAGCCCTACGTGGGAGAAATAATCAGCTCTATTTCAGCGTCACGTAAACTGGAGTTTAGTTATGATTATGTACCTACAGAACTACTAGTTCTGGTAAGAGCAACATTTCTCTCCTCTTCACGTCATCCAGACCGGTTCTTGGGGCCCACCAAGCCTCCTATCCAGTGGGTACCTGGACCGCTTTACCGTGGATAAAGCGCCAAGGGCGTGAAGAACATCACTCACCAACTCGTGCCCAGTTCAAGAATACATAGATCCATGCGCCCATGCCTTCATGCTTCTTCAAGGCATAGTGCTTAATTATGTGCAGAGATTTCGTCCTTTTTAGAATACAATATCTTATTTGATTGGGCATATTCTGATCGTACAAACATATGCAGGGATATGACGTCGTGTAGTCTGGTACAAAGATATCAACGACTGTGATGAGCCATTGAAAATCTTAGAAGATGTGGGATTTGACGTTCTCGCAGCTGTCAGCATGAAGCGCACTGCATTCTGGGATGACATCATATGCAGAGAAAATGGCGGCAACAAGTCCCCCCGAAATGTTTTTGCCTTTCTACCAGATTATACGAGGTCACATTGCACAAAACAGTACTCTCCTTATTCACTGACATGAGAAACTGAACTCACCAAACGCGTATGTGAACCTGTCTGTCATAACGGATGGTGTAACTCGTGGTTTCCTCAACCCCTACATAAGAATCCAGCAAGTAGCCCTTCACATAGGCCAGTACAGCCTCTCTGCTGGTCCTCACTTACTCTGAACACAATACTATCTCGTTCGACATTAGGAGTTGAGACAGTGAAGTTAAACAACTACAGAATAAATCAGATGAACGTCCGGTAAGGTCCTTCGTAATCAATGCGTAGCCTTATTCGATGGAAGACATCAGCGGTCTAATAAGATCAGTTAAACAAACTAACGAATACAAACTAAGACAATAAAAATGAAACGTATAAATTCTTCCCCAAACTACTTCAACGACTGCTTACATTTCAAAATCAATACAGGAAATATAAATCTAAAGGGTACAGGGACACTTTCCCTGGGGGTAAAGCGCCAGGGGCGTGAAGCTGACCACATACCTCTATACAGAACCGAGTTTAAAATTGCGGGGCTATATCTTCATTTCCCCATACGTCTTCATAGCGTGGTGCTTAGTTAATTAAGTTCAGGATAATTTTTTTTTCCTCTTACATGAAATGTACATACCAATTTGAGATGCGTTCAGCTATTTCATCTTGATGTTCTGTCCACTTGGTTCTATATACATATTCTCTTTGGAATTTAAATCCTGGTAAAATCAATAAGCGGGTACGTCCGTCACAAACAGGAAAAAGCGAAGACAAATACACTACATGAACACGCAAAAGGCGCATCACTACACTTTATACCCCAACCCCCTCCAATAATTTTAAAATTGTGAGATTGTGGCATCATCTTTCGTTTAGACCGCGAAGCACTGCTAAAGTCATGGACGAAATAACCATGGCTTAACTCCCATAGCAACCGCAGCGAGCGCTAGTCAATGGGGTAGTAGGCAGAACGAGGTATCTCCCAAAACGTATTTTAATCTTAGTGTAAAGTGCATTTTATTCTTGTCAAATTTTAGTCGAAATTGAATTATGTTCATAGATTTTAGTAAAATTCCTCGATATATCGTTCCAAAAATCCATGCATTGGGAGCCGAGTTGTTTCATTCAGACGGATAAGGAAACAAATACACTCAATGTATTTATCACAATTTTTACGAACGCGCCTAGAACGCAGGCAGGAGCAAAGAGCAATGAAATTAGCCCATATAAACTCTGCCCACACTCATTTTATAATTCATAGCTTTTAAGCATACACGCATATAGACAAAGAAATAAAAACGAGATAAGTTACCCTCACATAAATATATTGAAAATCGTGTTCTAGTGGTTGGCATTCCTACTTCTTATTCAGGACGACCCGGGTTCAGATCTCTGGCAGGAAACCGGTTATCCAGACTTAATTTTTCCTTGTTTCTTACGGCCCCTACCGATAAATGCGGACATAGTACGTACTTAAAATTAGTCCATGGCTGTTTCTATAACATCCTTTTCAATTCACAGTACACTAATCATCGCATCACTAAACGCTACAGGGACAACAGGCAGCGTCGTTAAATAAACCATGAATAAATAAATTAACTTCATGCTTATGTTTACATGCGTCACGTTATAAAATAAACATACAACTGAGAAAACAGGGCTGAAATATTCACGACCATTTAGGCCGCTGGATGTTTCACATCAGACACACAAAAAACCACCAGTTACTGAATTTAATAAGCAGTTCCATCTTCTGGAATACAACGCCGTGCGGTCCGGTGAAAGTCAACTGACGCTTCGGAGTAATATATCGCCTCTATCATATGAGTCCAAGAGTAAATCGAGGAAGAAACCAGCACGAAGCAAACTGCTTGGCTGGCTCTTCGACCCTGAAAGACGGAAACTCATGTTCTTCCCAAAAGTCTGTTGACTCTCGCCGGACTACACGGCATTACGTATATGGCAGGTTACAGAACCCTTCATAACCATCGCAACACCTTCCTCTAACAATTTAAGAATGTCATAAGTTTTAAAACAAACACACACAGAAACAACGACTGATTACCTATTTAAAATATGTATACAGCCATTCTGACAGCTAATATCTTCTAAAAGCAATTCCAATAGAAATGATTAATTTCAGTGGTACACTTTGAGGGTATTCTATGTGCCCTTGATATGATCATCTGTGTCTCCTGTTACATGCGACAAGCGCGATGAAATGCAGAATTATATAACAGTAAGTCTAGGTACTCACTCTGTGGCGTAGCAGTTGTCTGCCTGCTACAAGATGGGTGAACAACCCGGTACTCTGGCAGCACACGGCATCCTCCCACTCACCCAACTGGCTGTCGACCCCGGTCAAGCACCACAAGCCTGGTTGGCGGAGTAGGAGAACAAGCAAGCGTAAGGTAACCTCTGTTACCTCCTGATAGTACGACCACACTGCCTGCCAGCCCCTCAGTCTCCATCCGAAGCTGTCACGTGCACATAAAATTCGTAGCGCATGCGTCAAACTCTCCCCGGATACTGTTTTCCATTTCTCGATAATCGTAACGAAACACGCTGCGTGCAAAGTTGTTTCAAAATGCGACATAAATTATCGGAGGTTTGCGAGGTGAAGACCAAATCGTCTCGGATGTGACGCCTTTTAATATGGCAGAAGCTCAAAGACAGTTTCAGATGACCGTACTGCTTCGATCTTCAGGGTCGAAGAGTTAAGATTCCTGATTAATTCCTTAGCTTACTCTTCGACTCATGAAGATGGAAGCAGTACCTTCCTCCGAAACGTGGATGAACTACAGGGATGCACAGTGTCACATCCCACAAGAGAGTACCCTTCATAGTCAATGCCGTGAGAACAATGAGATACGAGATATGACGCCGTGTAGTCTTGTAGAAAGCTACTAACGTTTAGGGGAACAAGTTTCCTCTGTCCTCAGTGTACAAAAGTGTATGTAGGTCTATCCCTAACAGATTCTCTGATTAAGGATTTTTTTCTGCGTGTAATTGAACACCACGGCATGACGACATGTGAGGGAGCGGAGTCATACCTCCACGCATTCTTAACCTTGACCTTAGATTGAGATGAGTGCTGTCCCGGTCGCTTTGTCTAGTACGTATTGAAGAGTGGCCGGAAATCGCACCTTGATTTCTCGGGCGTCCATCCCATAGCTTAGTCACTTAATCTTTGGTAATAACCTTTTGTAGTTCATCTGGGACGGGGTAGGGGCGAGTGGAAGGCTCCTGGGATCAGGGCAATGAACCTGCGTGTTCCGTAAAGTGTGAGGAAAGTCTTGAGTGGCTGAGTAGCTGCCGACTTTTCAAGAAGTGCCCATCTCCATGGAGTTCGTTTATCTAAAGAATTCTCACAGACCTGTCTGTCAATCGCAAAGGGGAAGAAATGATAGATTCTACACGTAAACTGTCTTGTTACAGTAACAGTTCCCAGTGAGGAATATCAGAGTCTCCTTCCTCTTGCTGGCAAACATAGCCACATCCGATGCTGGAGAAATACTCGTATGCGAGAACATTCTCCGAACAAGGTATGCTGCAAGAATCCAATGACCTCATCGGGATTCGATCCCGCGACCTTCCGGCTTGTAGTATAGTGCATCAACCAACTACGCTAACGCGTGCCCCTATATCCCCAAGATCAATCTTAATATTATCTTCCCAACTATATCTCGGTTTTCCTAGTGGCCTCTTTCCTTCTTGCTTTCCCATCAATATCCTACATGCATTCCTCGTCTCCCCCATTCGTGCTAGATGCCCTGCCCACCTTATCCTCCTTGACTTGATTATTCTAATTATACTTGAAGAAGAGTACAAGTTATGAAGCTCCTCATTATGCAGTTTTCTCCAAACTCCTGTCACTTCATCTCTCTTTGGTCCAAATATTCTCCTCAGCACCCTGTTCTCAAACACCCTCAGTCTGTGTTCCTCCCTTAATGTCAGAGACCAAGTTTCACACCTATACAGAACCACAGGCAAAATTATAGTTTTGTATATTCTAATTTTCATGTTTTTGGACAACAGACGATAAGACAAAAGGTTCTGGACTGAATGGTAGCAAGCATTACCTGCGTTCAATCGCCTCTTAATTTCCTCCTGAATCAAATTTTGATTTGATATAGTCGTTCCCAAATATCTGAACTGTGCCACATTTACAAAATATATTTTAGCTATCTTTGTTTCATGATTTTGCCCTGCATTCTGGTGACTTAAAAGGTGAAAGATAAAATTGGCCTTGTGCTTAATTAATTGAGCACTATGACGTGAAGACGTATGGGGGAGTGCAACATGGTTTCACCACTCTTGACCTCGGCACTAGACGGAGGTTAGTAGTCAGCTTCACCCCGCTGCCGCTTTACCCCCGTACCAATTGTACAGGGGGCTGGATGGACCCCAGAGCCAATCTGGACTCTGTGAGAAGAAAATCCGCTTCTGCCGGGAATCGAAACCCGGCCGCCCAGTACGTAGCCCGTAGCTATACCCACTGAGCTGTCACGAATCCTCCAGTCACTGAAAGGGACAAACTAAATCAGCCTCTCCCAGCTGTGTGTTTCGTCAGACCGACTGCTCCTCGTGCAACATGCCACGGACGTACTAGTACATTGCCTGAGCAATAGCGCGTTCCGTTGAAATGTTAGAAAAAGTTACCATAACGCAAGGCAGCTTGACAACAACAGCACAGCGAAAATTACGGTCTTCTTCTATGTGGCGGTAGGCACTAATCTACAAAACTACACGGCGTCACAATCTAGATGACTGCGATCTCATTGTGTCACTCAGTCCTGTCAGGACCTCCTATATCAGACTCAAACTGAGCTGTGTCTCAAGGGCTAACGCATTCGGAAAATGACCAGCACCAGGTTATAATGTTTTCATCACTGCCTTAAATTAGGGCGTGAATTCCTTCCAGATCCTTTCAGATTCGCTGTTCACTGTCATCCATCAGTCGACAATCTCAGATGCCGACAATGTCCGTGAACTACGGATACAGAGAAACTTATCGTCCTGAAGGGTTTGTATGCTATAGAAACTTGTACGTCTTTATGTTCGTAGTTGCCTCATTCGTCCTGTGACAGTTCAGGGCAACACTGTGAAGAATTTCGTGACAGTAATTACGATGATCTGGCAACAGGGCACTTTTCATTACGATAAATAGGCAGCAATTGTGGGGGTGGGAGTGTTATGTGCAAACTATGGCGCTGTCAAGTCTGGTAGATACGTACAAACAATTCGGAGGAACGAGTTGCCTCCATCTTCAGAGTAGAAGTGACACTTGCTGCCTCCAGCATTAGAGTAAAAGGATCGTTCTTCACCTTTGCCCTGAAGATGGAAGCAGAAGGTTCTTCCGAAACATTGATACGTACCTATAATACTGTCCTGCTGTCTCCATCATCGTGATAGAAACGACAAGAATGTCTGTTCTAGCGGTGGTTGTAGACAAGTTGCTCCGAAACGTCAGTATGTGCATGCTAAACTAAAAAATGTCACATCCCAGAAGTTTGCTATCTTAACATTCATTGTTTTTTCGAAGGCTCCTCGCCCATTTCAGGCCAATCCTAGCATAAACTCTTTTAGATGTATCCATAAATCTTTTTAAACGTGACGCAAGCGACCAAGCCCTTGCCATTAACATTCTCCAGCGACAATAACCGAACACTTTAAACTCTGGTTCAACTTCCTCACTCAAGGTCAACTCCATTTTATTATAATTTTCTCCAAAATTATCTCGGGCGACCAGCCACTTCGTGACTAGAGTTGGAAGCATGACGCAGATATCTTAAGTGCGTTTGCCCGCCATGTAAGGTCAGAAATCTTACGCCACACCATTCAATGTTGAAGAATTTCATCTTCCTAAACGCGAGACCGAATAGCCTGGTAGAGAATCAGTAACTCTGAAACCTGTTGCTGTCGCCTTCAGGACAGCGAATTGTCTAGCCTGAATACGGAGGTAGCAAATTCCTCTACTGGCGCCTGATATGACTGTCTTCACACTAACGGCCGTGGGCACCTCAAGTCTCACAAGATGTTCATTGCTCCTTGTTCAGTCATGAACTATTTGCATGTTTAATGGCGCTGTATCAAAAATATAGCGTCGAATGATAGTGTGATTACGTAACAAACATTGATTCCTTACGAGGCGGTGAGGAGTAATTGATGAAGAAATGACATGAAGATGTCTGGTTTCGATTCTCAGGAAGGGGAAAGAATTTCCTGTATTTCGCAGTGCCAAAGCTGTCCTATATCCGGTGGGTATTGGGAGCTCCTTGCCGGGACTTGAATCAGGCTACGGATATCCCCTAAGGAATGCTTTGACCTGTACCACCACCATCCCATGCGTCTTCATGTCGTGGTCCTTAACTAAGAACAGAGACAGCTTTGCCTATTTTTGGCAGTTTTCTTACGTTTCTTATTTAAGAACGCTCTCAGCGTCGGGCTTCTAAGTCAGTTGTGAAACAGAGGAATATGTGTCGTGGGTCCCGAGGGGCCCGAAAATAAGAATGAACGTGCTGACGAACCCAGCAGTAATTTACACGACCGCCCATACAGAGACTCTATGACGTCAATAAAAGTTTGAATAATGAATGTGGTGCAGTTAATGGTATAAGAACCGGCAAGAGAAACCGAAGTAATTGGGGAAACCAGTGTCACTTAGTTCACCACAAATCCCACATGACCTTATCAGGGATGGAACTTGGGCCGCCGCGGTGGGAAGCCGGAGACTAACCACGGCTTTGAGTTATGTAACATTTGGCAGATTTTCCGCCACTCCTTTTCAACTTTGCTTTAGAATATGCCATTAGGAAGGTCCAGGGAAAACAGGTGGGACTGAAATTAAACGGGACATATCAGCTGTTGGTCANGCTGTTGGTCTATGCTGATGATATGAATCTACTGGGTGATAATATAGATACTCTAAAGAAAAACATAAAAACTCTAACANACTTTAATTGACGCAAGTAAGGAGGTTGGTCTAGAAGTAAACACAGAGAAAACTAAGTATATGTTGGTTTCTCGTCACCAAAATGCAGGGAAAAATCATGACAACGATAGGAAACAGATGTTTTGAAAATGTGGCACAGTTCAGATATTTGGGAACGACGATAACAAATCGAAACCTGATTTAAGAGGAAATTAAGAGGGGATTGCACTAGGGTAATGCTTGCTACCATTCAGTCCAGATCCTTTTGTCTTCTCGTCTGCTGTCCAAAAACATAGAAATTAGAATATACAGAACTATAAATTTGCCTGTGGTTCTGTATGGGTGTGAAATTTGGTTTCTGACATTAAAGGAGGGACACAGACTGAGGGTGTTTCAGAACAGGATGTTGAGGAGAATATTTGTACCAAAGAGAGACGAAGTGACAGGAGGTTAGAGAAAACTGCGTAATGAGGAGCTTCATAAGTTGTACTCTTCTCCAAGTATAATTAGAATTAT